CAGATTCCTGATGATTCACTTCGCATGTTTTGGGAGCTTGACGCAATCGGGATCAAAGAAGAAGAAACCAAAGCTCTGACTGTGGAAGAAAATAAGGCTGTGAAGAAAGTGACTGAAACCATAAAGATTGACAATCAGCGTTATGAAATTGGAATTCCCTGGAAAGATAACGAACCAAAATTCACTGACAACTATGATGTAGCATTGGCACGACTCGAGAGCCTGGAGAAATCCTTGAGAAGAAAAGGTGAGGAAGCCATGGAAGCCTACAACAAGATATTTGTCAAATATGAAGAAAAGGGTTACATAAGAAGAGTGACAAAGTCCGAAAGAACAGATCAATGGATACCGCCTCACTTCCCAGTCTTTAGACCCGATAAGGAGACCACGAAAGTACGAGCGGTTTTCGATGCAGCTATGAAGCATGACGGCAAAAGTCTGAACGCTGCCATACTGCCAGGCCCCAAGCTCCAAAGAGAAATCGTTGATGTTCTTACCCGATTTCGAAGAGCACCTATCGCGATGACAGCGGATATCTCGGAAATGTTTCTACAAGTCAAGTTACGAGACCAAGATCGTCCGTACCATAGATTCTTATGGAGAAATTTTGATTCCAGTAAAGAGCCGACTATTTACGAGTTTCAACGCCTGTTGTTCGGTAATACAGCGTCACCCTTTTGTGCCCAGTATGTGCTCCACTACCATGCAGAAACTCATAGTACAAAATTTCCAGTTGCAGCGGACTCTGTTGACAACTCTATGTACGTTGACGATTTGCTAGATTCCTGTGAAACAACACGAGATGCCAAGAACTTGCAAACGCCACTATCAGATTTGCTCGCCTTGGCAGGGTTCCCACTGCGGAAATGGGCCTCGAATAGTGAAGACATTCTCACCGATATTCCCGAAGAAGACACACTTTCCAGTCTGGAGATCACAAGCCAGGAAGGTTCACCATCAAAAACCCTCGGAGTCTTGTGGGATGCAAAAAAAGATGTCTTTGTATTTCATGTCAAGCCACCAGACAAGAATGAAATACATACCAAGAGAAATGTTCTAAGTACCATTGCGTCGCTGTATGACCCACTACAATTTCTCTCCTCTTTTATCCTAAGAGCTTAAGTGCTAATGCAAGAAATTTGGACTGCAGGAATAAACTGGGACGATGAATTGCCACCCGAGTTAAGAAACAAATGGGAACAATGGCTGAAAGAATTATCCGACCTACCAAATGTAGCTATTCCACGTTGTTTGCGTAGATCAAATCCATTGCAAAAAGAATTGCATGTGTTCTCTGACGCCTCAAGAGCAGCTTATGCCTGTGTTGCGTATTTGGTTAGCCAATACAATGATAACACCGCTTCGTCTGTGATAATCGCCTCTAAGTCCCGCGTTGCGCTCGTGAAGACCGTAACAATATCACGCTTAGAGTTGATGGGTGCTGTACTATCCGTTCGTTTAGCGCAAACCATCCTTAGAGTTTTAACAGTGGACAGAGTTGTGTATTGGACTGACTCAGGGAATGTATGGTACTGGGTGTGCAACCAGAGTCGTGAGTTTAAACCCTTTGTGGCGAACAGAGTTGGAGAAATACAAAAGAAAACCAACCCTGATCAATGGAGGCATGTGCCGGGAGTTATGAATCTGGCAGATCTGGCTACCAGAGGTCTCACTATAGAACAATTAGCCTCAAGCATATTATGGGTTTCAGGTCCAGAGTTCCTGAACGACGAATCACAGTGGCCAAAGCCCAAGACTGGCCTTGTTCACGAGCCAAGCAACAGCGAGAGGAGAGCTGCCGCGCGGGCCCACGTATCGGTGGAAACGGAGACCAAAGATGAATTTCTTGCTCGTTTCTCGAGCTTTGGGTGACTATTGCGCATTACTTCTTGGATTGGGCGTTTCTTAACAAATTCCAGAAATGTTGAGCCCGGCAAAAGAAACCTCAGTGCGACGCTTTCTCATGAGGAGATCGCGAAAGCTGAGAAGTATTGGTTAAAACGAGTTCAGGCGGAGTCGTTTCCAAAAGGAGTAAAGGAAGAATCTCTATTGCAACTAAGCCCGATGGTAGATAATGACGGGATTCTTCGAGTAGATGGACGGTTGCGTTTTGCTGACGAACTTTCCTACGATGCACGATGTCCTATCATATTACCCAAGGATAGCCCTCTGACAAAACTCGTGGTTCTTCATGCACATGAAAGTGTCGGTCATGGTGTAGGCTGTGAACATACGCTGACACAATTGCGCTCAAAATTTTGGATTCCTCGTGGACGACAAGTTGTTCGGAAAATTACCCAACATTGTCCTAAATGTCGGCGAAGATTGTATAGGATTCCAGCTAGTCAAAAGATGGCCCCTCTACCAAAATGCAGACTGAGTTCAATGAGAGCCTTCGAAAAGATAGGTGTTGACTAGGTGGGCCCCTTTCAGACAAAACAAGGCCGTGGAAAAACCCGAGCGAAGAGATATTTATGCCAATTTACATGCCTTACAACCAGAGCCGTGCACCTTGAAATGGCTTATTCACTAGACACTGACTCTTTCATTCAGGCATTTACGCGAATGACATCGAGGAGGGGGACGCCAAACCTTGTAATTAGTGACAATGGCACTAATTTTGTGGGTGCTGATTGGGAATTACGACAATTAGTAGAATCGTTCGACCAAGAGAAGATCATCAGGCAAACAACGACATTTCATTCAATTGAGTGGAAATTCAACCCACCAATTGCGCCTCATTATGACGGCGTGTTTGAGGCGCTTATAAAGAGTGTGAAGAAGGCCATCAGATCGATAATGGGCAACACCGCGATCAGTGATGAGGAGCTGCACACCGCAATATGTGGCGCGGAGAAATTAATGAATTCAAGGCCGATTACCTATGTGAGCTCCGATCATAACGATTTAACCCCATTAACTCCTAACCATTTCGTTGTTGGACAATTAGGTGGACCGTTTGCCCCAGAAATACTAGACGAAACGGAGTTATATGACCCAAGAAAGAGATGGCACCGTGTTCAACAACTTCTAAAGCAGTTTTGGCAAAGGTGGAGAAAAGAGTTTCTACCGCAGATCAACGTCAGGAACAAATGGTTTCACCCCAAGCACAAACTTAAGAGCGGTGGCATTGTGATGATGGTAGAGCCTGACGCTAAACGTGGAGAGTGGCCTCTTGCTCGCGTAGTAGAGGCTTACCCGGGAAATGATGGACTTGTTAGAGTTGTAAGAGTTAAGTCGAAGAACAAGGAATATGTTCGACCTATTCATCGGATCTGCCCGTTGGAGTACGTACAAGAATGATGGTTAAAAATTGAACAGTCGGGAACTAGTTAACGAAAAGAACAATTAGACTTAATTCCCTGTGAACGAATGCAATACATTCGGGAGGGGAATGTTGAGGGACTTTTTACTTTCGTTTATATGACGTTTAACATTGTTATTATTACCGCTCGCGTTCTGTACGAGGGTGTCTATTGCTTTTGATTTTTGTGCAAAAGTATATTCCTTATAAAGTGTGGATTTAGTGTGGGGTTTTTTTATTTGTTTATATATATACATATATATATATATATATATATATATATATATATATATATATATATATATATATATATATATATATTTTTTATATATATATATATTTAATCATTTACATAATTCTTAAAAAATTGGCATCGCTACTCTGAGTTTCATGCCACAGAGGCAATCATCAGGCGACTAAATTTCAGTTCGTTACAAGTTTGATGATGTGCGACTTTCTTGTTTGTGCGTGCGTTTAAAATTTCCGCGCAAACAAGAAAGTCGCACGTCATCAAACTTGTAACGAACTGAAATTTAGTCGCCTGATGATTGCCTCTGTGGCATGTAACTCAGAGTAGCGATGCCAATTTTTTAAGAATTATGTAAATGATTAAATATATATTGCTCTATTTGCTTGCAGTATTGAGCACTCTTTTATCTCATACGAATAATTTCTAAATAATTGTTTATATATATATATATATATATATATATATATATATATATATATATATATATATATATATATATATATATATATATATAGATATAGACAAGAATCCGTTGTCAAAATGGCCACTATGTTCACTGAAGCTAAATTCAAAGCTATGAAGATAGCAGATCTCCAAGTCTTTTTACAAAATCGAGGTTTTAGGGTGAACAGTCACCTGAAACCCGGACTCGTGGCCATTGTGGGTGCCGCTGAAGAAATGCGTCTGCCTTTGCTAAACTCAGTCAGCGAAGGCGAAGAGAAGTTGAGTTTAGATCGTCGTTTAAACATTTATGATGTTCAACTGCCTGACTCTTTTAAAATCACGGTTTTTAAGGATTGTAAGCATTCGCCACCTTTTTGTTTATTTGACATATTCAACCATAAAAGAGTGCTATGACTTATGGTTTTTGCTGGATGGGAAAGGACAAAATCATGGTAGTGTTCTTGATGCATATTGTGTTTGCGTTGGAGGAAGAGATGGTGGCTGTAAGCATTTTGCATTGGATATGTATTCACTTGACACTCTTCTAAATACTAAGGGGGAAGATTGTGTTACAAAAGTAAGCCCTGGAAATGGATCAGAAGACCAAAGACTGACACATCACCATGTGACGTAAAGGATCTGTCAGTGAATAAAAGAAGGCTTAAAGATCAGAATGAGTTGGTGTCAAAGAAAAAGAAGACTCAGGAATACACATTTTCCCAATTCATTTATCATGATCCACATATTATTGAAAACAGGCAACCGTGTACTTCAGAACAACTTGCCACTCTGGTAGCAAGTATGCAGAGTATGAAGGAGAAACCAGCTATTTTGCCAATCTTATCAAGATATTTAATGCCCTCCAAAGTTAGCTCCAATGTTGTAAAATGAGATGAGGTATTGCAACATGAAATAATGGAGCAAACCGTTCTAAAACATTTGGAAGACCCCACAAGCAAACAAGGACACCTTTGTTGCAAATCGAAACTTTACAGAGGAAGAAAGAAATGTTGCAGCTGTTAATAAGAAGCAATGGCAATGCAAGCAATGGTATGTGCACAAAAGAGGATTTATAACTGCCTCAAAATGTAAGAGTGTTTATACAAGGCAGGTATCTGTTGAGACACATACAACTGATATGTGAAGGTATTCAACATCAAGATAAGAGTTTGCATAGCTAGGTCTTGTAGCACTGTATGAGTCTGACATACTTTTTTGGATATGTAGGTAAGGAGAAAGAACGGTCAAAACAATCTCAGTACTACCATAATATGTTGAACTAAAAGTGGAAAGGACAGTATTTTGGAGTGAAGAAGGACTAAAAAGTTTATTTAATATTTTAGTCTTCACTGGCTTCTTGCTATTATAACACCTTGGTAAGTAGTATTGTTGAAAGTTATATGTAGGGTATTTGAGAAACAAAACTTTGCCACATACTTTTATCTAATGGAATAGTTGTATTAATTAATGTCACTAAAATTTCAGGCATATTCTTATACTGGATTAATTAGCTTGGAATATTGAGATAAGAAGATCTGAGATTGAATACATTTCACGGTGTGTAAACTGAATTGTGCAATGTTTTGCTAGTAAATGGCTACATGCATTTTTATTTTTACAGTATCTTGAACTACAGGTTTTTCATATTTTTTTATTATTCCCAAGGTTTATTGATTATCTCTATGACAGCAGTGACATTGACAGAAAACTTTGCTCTAATCATGTTTTGAAGGTATAGTAATTGCATATGAGAAGTTTAGCTTGTGAGTCCCTAAGACAAGGAAAAATTCCCAGCTTTACACAGAGGGTAATCATTTGTTGTTATGTACCAGATTCCACGGCAAGGAAGCAATTTCAACAACTGTGCTGTGCATGTGTCACTATTCATTAAACATTTTTTTCAGGTAAAAATTAAATATTTGTTATTTTGTGATAATTAGAATGTATGTGAAGTGTTAACACCAAAATGGCAATATTTTTAGTATATTGAGGAGAATGCTGAATGTCCACAAGATGTTATCTCAAAAGAACACACATGGTTTAAGAATGAAGACCCAACAATGAAAAGACAGCACTAGCATAGAACCTTAGGAACATTGTTTGATCTGCACACATACAGAGAAT